CTCCGTGCATGCTGAGTGGAACCAGACCACTCAGCCCATTCCGTACCGAGTACAGACTCGGGCGGGTAGTTTTCATTTCTTTCATTTCGCCTTTTTTTTTCTAAACGACTTCGTTCCGATTGGCCAACAGTGCTCGGTTAGAGAGCGGCTGGCCAGCGCAATGGCTGCCATAAAGCAGCAAGTTTCCGTGTCCAACCCACGTTGAATCGTCGACGAAGCCATGGGGTGAGCCTTTTCGGCGCGGTCGTGTGTATACCCCTATCATGCTTCCTGTTCCCTCTCGACGCTTTCGAGTGCTTACTTTGGCAATAGTAGCACTGTTCATCTTGGCGATACTATACCAACACGGCCCTCTGTCATCTCGCGCTTTCCTTCCGACATGGCAGCCTGTAGAGAGTCCAAAAGCGCACAAACCCCAAATTCCACGCCCGAGGCTCGACTTGCCATTGGAATATACACCAAAGCCCTCCGATAGTCAGTGGTGCCAAGAACGCTTTGGTATCAAGTTTCTCGAAAATGTTCGCGCATCCTCCGTCTCCTACTGCACTCCGAGCTCCCCGAGCTTCTCTTGTTTCTGGTCGACAACCACCGAGGAGCGACGTGATGCCATGTGTCATGGACAAGGCGCCACATATGACGCCGGCGAGTCTAAGTTTCGACTCGGATGCCGGCTGCGAGACTTGTCTCCAGAAGAAATTCAAAACGACACGCCGCGAATCCCAGACAACCTGACGCAATATTGGTACGACACCGGACCCGGGCAAGTCTTCAACGAGGCCGTGCTCCTCGATGCCAATTCTCGCATCCAGAGATCCCGCACAACAAGCATCCTGGTAAAGAGAGAAGGGCCCGGCAATCTATGGCACGTCCTGATGGAGCTGCTAAGCCTCTCGTGGACTCTCGACATACTGCAAATCAGCGTGGATCCGACCTCGCAGCAGCCCTATCTGTCACCTGCCGCGACATCGTCAACGCAGGTCATATTCCTGGACGACTACGAAGACGGCCCCTTTGTCGACATGTGGAGGCTTTTCGCTAAAATGCCCATTCGGCGCATCCACCAACTCAACGGCTCGGAACCCGCCACCGACATTATCATACCCTTTTCCGGCGGGAGCAATACACTCTGGCAGGGCGATTGGGTCAAGCTTGACTGCCGGGAATCCGCACTAGTCAAGGCCTTTGTTTCGCGCGTTTTGCATCTCTACGACGTACACACGCCTCCGCGGAGGAAGGCAGAGGTCGTTGCCAAGTTTATCCGCCGGACGAATACCCGGAAACTGATCAACGAGACGGAGCTCATTGAGTCGGCTAAAAGGGCTGTTCCTCACTTGAATATAGAAATTGTCGACTTTGCCGGTTTTTCTTTTGCTGAACAGCTACGAATTGTCCGCGAGACGGACCTTCTCATAGGTGTGCATGGGGCTGGTCTCACGCACGCCATGTTCTTGCCGCCGGGATCGGCTGTCGTGGAGATTCTACCCCGCGACTTTGCGCACATGGGCTTCCGGAATCTAGCGCAGCTACTGGGCCACCAGTATCACCGTACCCATGTCAAGATGCATGGGGATGCCTCTGGAGATGGGCAGTGGCAATTCGATGCGGTCGAGATGGAAGAGGACCAATTTATTCGTTTGATTGACGGCGCGGTGCGAAGTTTGTATAATAACGGAGTAAGGACGTACGACGCTGTATGAATATTGGATCATTAGGGCTAAAGAGGGGGCGGGAGTCTATAGACGTCTGGGAATGATGGACCCTGATGGGCCATTGTCCTACGTGGACTGGCTTGTCCAGTGTCATTGGAGAGTATTGAACGGGTTGGCGGAACGCTATACTCTACTCAGCAGCATAAAGCTGCTTTTGTGCGAGTCTGCGGACGGGCTTGTGGACCATGACGATGATGACAAGCAGCTGATGGCAGTTTGCGTCGCAACTCTGGTTTTACAAAACTTACGAGTTGCGTATGGGAAGCCTCTGGAAATCGTAGTATCTAGCGTGGTGTGGCAAATTCATATCAACCTCCGTCTTGGGCCGACATTGTTCACTTATACCTGTCAATGATGGATATTGGTCGGGCCACTTATCCCCGCTGATGCCGGTTGCTGGGCATCCGTCATACCGATGGCTGCTCTTAGCCGCACGTGGCAAGGAAAGGGTTGGCTGCAGAGCTGCACCGCCAGCTATGATTGTTATTGCCATGTTCACTAGAGTTGCAAGGAGTCCATGACCTCCTTCCCAGACCGCTTGACCCTTGTAGCGTGTAGACTATAGTACCAAGGCGTCACTGGCCGTGATGCGAACAGCGTACAGAACAAAGGACGAGCAGTTTCTGCATCGTGGTGACAGGATGGCCGTTAAAACGGCTCGATGACAAGGTTTTGTATTTTAGGCGACATAGAAGCGCGATTAGACGTTATAGCTATCAACAAGGATGTGCGCCACGTGGTTCTGCTACGGACAAGTCATTCACCCCCATTCATCCCTGGTACTTTTAGCCGGGGACTTGCACGGATGTGTCTAGCCCGGCCGGCCGGGAGCAGGTCCGACCGGCGGCATATAAGTGGGGAACTCCACCGAGCTAATCCGTGAGGTTATTCCCGGAACATTGGCGATCCGGGGCAGCACTGGATGGTTGCGTCCGTACAGAGTAGACAGTGGTGAATTTTGTGGGCATGGAGTCTGGTGAAATAGGGAAAATCAATTAATGTCCTGGCGAATAAGAAGCACCAGGGTCTACCTGCTTCCTCGAACGCTACCAAAGTAGACTTTACATGTACCAAAGGACGGCGATATTCGACCAACAGGTTACAGCACCACAATAGCAGTACTGTCACTGCTAAATGGGTTGAATAAAATCCGAACCGGACAGCTCGTCAACCGCATTGGTAATGGTACGCTCTGAATAAGAGAGCGTATTGCCGACGAACCCGGGTGGTGGTAGCGGCGTGCTCTGAATGGCATGCTCCCGACGACGATGACGACGTGCACTGGCACGACCGTCGGCACAGGAGGCAAGGTTCCTTGGCCAGAGTACTCATGGCACGGAGATATCGAGCGGGCGGCCGGGACTGGGCCGAAGATGTCGGAGAAGACGGGCGGTGCAGTGTCGCCGGCTGCAACTGGGGGCCAGCATGGATTCAAAGAGTTGGGGTCTACACGTCGAGTTTTTTTTGGAGCTCCTTTCAGGAATGTCTCTGATGTGTCGCACCGGTCGGGGAACGGGTTGCCACACAATTGCCATTGTTCAGGAGGCGCTCCGTGTGCTAACGGGTGCTCCTAGCCTGTCCAGTCCAAGTCTGAGTAACTAAATGTCACCCGTCTTCTTCGGGCATGCTCTTGATTCATTTGATCCAAGCCCCTGGCACCGTCCATGTGTTTGCACGCGGATGTCTGGCTCGGTGATGGCTGTCAGCCTGTCACCATTTGCCACCAGTGACCTCTTCGTTACGTCTGGTCGGCTTTGTTCCTCCTAGGAGATGCTGCTGAGCGATTCGTTTGGTGTGCCAATCCATCACTTGCTGTTGCTGTTGCCTGCCGATCTGACCGCCGCCACCACGATTAGCATCCCCGGCGTGGCACTCACGTCAGCCAGATGACACAGGGAGGCTCAAGCTTGTGCCATGGCCCATGGTTCAATTTTGCCCAAGGCCCTAGCCACCTCGTGGGTTGAATTGCTACAAAAACCGACATCTGGACAGACCATCTCTTTCTGTCCGAGAGCTTCTGATAGTGCCAGCCCTTCGCGTCGACAATAACGCCAGCACAAGCTTGCAGACTGGGATGTTTCACAGGGACAGAGGAAGAATAGGAAATGACGCCGGATAATGTGCCAATAAAACACACGGATCACCGCCATAGCATTTGCCTGCCCGCCGAAGTCGAGCATTCTCGCTGCCTGGCAAGCCGACCGCAAAAGGCAAGCCACATGCACCAATCAAGACACGGCATCCGACGCCAACATGATGATGGGCCGGCATCTCGATGGTCCAAAGGGGCACAAGCAGAGTCTGCTGGGTGGCTCTGGCTCCCAACTTGCAAGCCTTGTCCCACCTGTAGTATATGTACAATATACCAGTCGACATGTGTCGGAGCATCAAAACAATGGCCGATGCAAGTTAACCCCCTGGGCATGACAGATGGGACGGCAGTCCTCTCATCCTGACAATGGGGGATGAGAGTCGAGACTCCATGACATGGCGCAACGCCGCGTCCTGCAGAGTCCCCGTCTTCCCACAACGGCCATCATGTATTGTTCCAGGCGCGAGGTGGCTTGGCTCCATACCGACCGAGACGGCGCCGGGGCCGTCGGGCGCTGGACAATACGCACCATCTCTCCAGGAATAGCACGGCCGGGGACGTGTCAAATTCGAGTCGATCTTGTCTGGTTGCCGAGGCTTGGCGCAGCTCGTCAATCAGAGGATCGATGCTGTTTGCCGCCTTGTATAATTTGTCCATGGTGGTGACGGGAGGTGAGATTTGGCTCGCGTACAGGTACGGAATACGTTCCGGGAGACGGTCGACCTGGCCAAGTATTCACCAATGCCCACATCCCGCCGTCGATGCCTCCAGTCGTATTGGGCCTGTGCTCCTGAATGTGCCTACATATATTCTTGCCATTGTCAGCGTGGTCACCGAGCGGGCAGCCACGCTGAATATCCGCGCATGAAGCCACCGCGTCTCACAAAATAGTCGACTGGTTTGCACCTCGTTCCCCGGCCGGCTGCACCAGACGCCACGCTCCCTGCCTCTGGCATTGTCGTCAGCACGCTTCACTCTCGGTCCAACAGTCTGGCCATGTCAGCCAAGCTCCCGTCAGCTCGCAGCCGCCGGGCGCAATCACGCGTCGAGGCGGCGACGCTGGGCGGCGCTCTCGAGGCGGCCAAGGCGGCGATACACGACAATGCAAATGCGCCCCCAGTCTGTCGTCTGACGTCTCGACTAGAGTCGATGCCGCCCTTGATGCTAGTATTTGACGGCATGTCACCCTCGCGGCCGCCCCCCTTTTTTCCCCACGCATTTCCATCATGTCAACGTCGTAGCCGCCCGCGCTGCTGGTTCCCGTCGTCGCGACTCGCCGGCAATCCCCAGTATGGCCAGTTTGGTTCCAAATGTCTGGGCAGCCATTCTCATTCCCGTGCCTGCGTCCGTCGCGGCCGTCATCCTGCGCCTCAAGGCCAGGCGGATGACGCGCATGGGCATGGGCCGCGACGATTGCTTCGCCGTGGCCGCCCTGGTAAGTTGACTGCCGCTTCTGTCGGAGCCGCATTTGGCCCTGCATGCTCACTGTGGCATCCAATATCTTTGCCCTTGGCTATACAGCCGTCCTCATAGTGTGTAAGTTTGAATCGAAGAAACTCGTGCTCGCGCTCGTGGCGATGCTCACACCAGCCAGGGGCAACGTGCTTCAAGCTCGGCCAGCCCATCGGCTCCTATAGCCAAGACTTGATCGACTACTAACGGAAAAGTCGACCTTGGTCCTGTGGACGAGCGAGGTCTTGTACTCTTGGGCCATCTTTTGCGCCAAGACAGCCGTCCTGTGCTTCTTCCTCCGCGTCTTTCGATTCTCCTCCATCCGCGTCCCCATCATGATTCTCATCACGCTGTGTTCTATCTGGATCACTATACGCACCTTCTTCACCCTATTGCGCTGCAGGCCGATCCAGGCATTCTGGGTGCAAAATATCCAAGGCGCCACGTGTTTCACCAATGTGCGTGCCTATTACCTCGCCACCGATGTCTCCCACTCGTCGATGGATTTCATCATCCTGGCCCTCCCCATATATGAAGTCTCGAGAATGAAGCTCCCGTTTGGCCAAAAGATTGCTGTAGTCGGCCTCTTTGCCACCGGATCTCTGTACGTCTCTTGCAGCCATGCTTTTGCCTCATCAGCCCCGCAACTTGCTCATCTGTGGTCCTTGTGTGTTCTTATGGTGGCGGTGTTCTGGGTTTCACCTAATGAATCCTCGGCTAAGCTGGCCATCCTGACTCTGTGTCTGGGACGCCCTTGATACAGTATCAGTATGTACTGTGTTGCAAAGTACTGTAGACAAAGCGATTGTTCACAAGGAGGGAAAGAGAACCTCTAAAGAGAACTCTGACTAATTAGAGCTATTTACACCATGTTCAAAAAGTGAGATATTCATTAAACAGACAGGTTACATGATTCCCTCACACTCTCATAAATTTTAGCGGTAATGTAATGCCCCGAGTAGCTACAGTCTTGAGGTTGGAATGAACAGGCAGCTGCATAGTATTATCCTGCGCAAAAGCAGCTTCCTCTGCGGAACACTACGAGATTAATTTTCGGCAGCGCCAAAATTCTCGTTTAGACTCGGAAAAAGAATTATTAACAATGAAAGCTTTGCTTTTGAATTGTCCTAGTTTTTAAGTCAAGTTTTGGTAGTTTATGGGAGTTTTTGGACGACATACATGCCAGGACACCATACTACCATATGATGAAGACTGTGGAGACAGGAAGCTATTTTTGCGCATAATAATACATAACAGTTACTAACTAATACTGTAGAATACGATTGTGATGTAGAACGTAAGCTTCCTAAGTAATGCGGGAGCAATTGCTTCTAAGATCGTGCGTGACCCGGCAATAATAGACAAGAATACGTTGAATTAGAGCTGATAAGGAAGCTCACGACACCGCCTCTGCAAGAAAGTAGGCATGGGTCAGCAAAATTTGGGCGAATGAGGGGTAGTAAAAGCCATGCCTGTGTAGCCAAGTGTCATGCCCGTGTAGCAATTCCCAATATAAAAATATTGCGGCGACAAAAATAAATTAAGCTTGCCATGTAACGTAGGTGCATAGTGAGTGGGCCAGCATAGTGAGTGGGCCACCTAAAAATCCCATATAAAAGGGACTTTTTATATCCCTGTAAAAGCCGTAATAACGGCTAAAAATAGCTATAAATTTAAAATAGAGTATTTAGCTAGTATATAAATCTAATTATAGATTTTCTAGTGCGTAAGGTAGCTGGTTATTTAGAAGTCTAAAATTTCTTATTCGCACTATGCATTTTTAGGTTTTTTCTAAATAACTTTAGAATTAGCTAATTTAAACACTAGAAATTCCAAAACTAAGCTACTTTAGTAATTAGATATTTTATATTAAAAAAAAGCAGCTATTTTTAGTTATAATTAGTATTTTTTGCAGGGATATAAAAAGTGCCTTTTTGGTGTGAGTGCGAGTGGCCCACTCGCTATGTTGGCCCACCTACGTTATGCTAACATCTATCTTTCTTTCCCTTTCCTGTGTAAATATAGATAACTACATAATTATACATATATATATGTATGTATGTATCGTCACCAATATGAACAAGTCAACATCCTCTCAGCCCACAATGCCACCCGCTCCATCTTACAACCTGGCCATGAAAAGCGGTAGGCATGGTATGTGTCTAGATTCCAGCCCTATATATGACATTTCTAATGCTCAAGGTATATAGATTGGCAATCTGCGGAACGATACAGGGTCGTCCAGGTTCAGCGTCCGCTAATTTACTTCTAAAAAATTAGCGCGGCGCACCCAGTCCCCGATACACCTTAACAAATCGGTAAGACCATAGTGGACGCTGGACCTGGATTCCACTGTACCTTAACGGCTTCTACTCGAAAAATGTTTTTTTGAGACTCTGGGAGAATTATCGCCAAATCGCTGCAATTCTTGGGAAAGCTCGTTCGATTGGTGGGAACCCCAAGGCAACTCAAGAGAGGAAAATAATATTTCGAGAAGCGTCGAAAGCTGTGAAAGCGTACAGAAAAAGGGAAGCAGCTGGGGGATTTAAGACTGACGCCGAAGATCTCCACGAGAGAGTTATGGCATATTCCAAGTATGCCGCAGCAATGAATGAACTTGAGGGATATTTTGGTAATGCCGGCCATATACGCTTCCGACAATCAGTGCTAACTCTGTATAGGGTATAAATTCTCCGTGTGATTAGCACTATAATGAGAACCTTGCATATCGCACATTCACGAATTTGACCAAAATTTATACATAATTTTTGTTGGTTACTTAGATTTACATACAAATTACAGAGTAGTTAAGAATGCATCGCGAACTTCCCTTTGGCGTGTCCATTGTGTCAAACGATAATTCCGCCC